GTGACAGATACAACCTACATCACCCTCCACTACATCACAGATGACGCCCATTTCCAAAAGCATTTCCATATATTGATTTACCAATTAAGTTAATCAGTTGCTATGTAAACTTATTAAATTAAATCATCCATATAGAAAGCCAGTGTCAAAAGGAAACCTAATATCAACCTTGTTGTCCTTATTTTGCCTATGCATGCAGAACACAAGAAACCACAGTGCCTGGATGTGTTCCAACAAACCTGATGCTCTATCTGCTTTGGAATTAAATTTGTCTAAATTGAAGCGGTGTAAGTCTGAAATACATCTGACATCCTACGTTCCTTCTGCAAAGCAATAAGAAGACAACAAAAAGACATATCCAAGTAGTTCGGCTATCAGAAAAGCTGCAAGATGATCTTGACCAGTGTCTGATTTTAAGCACTAGCCACAACAAGCTTATTATGACATGAATTGGTATGGTAAACATTCCTCTTAACTAAAACATCTCACCAAAATATACCAGTTTTAATAGTTGAGCTGCTTTAAAAACAGCAATGTACCAAACAAACTGAATATATTCTAGCACCTAGCCACAATGAAGAAATTAAGTTAAAGATTGTTAATCAAATTAATAACCAGTGATTTACTCATGCTAGCTTCCACAATCACATATCAGCATTCTTCTCTGGCCACTAGATTCCTAAAATCCTGTTTGCAAATATACTAACAAAATTATTCTTCTGCTTCTTTGGAATTAAGACAAGGCGCAAGCATATAACTGAATTGTATGGTGATGAAGTTCAGTCTGTATCACAAGCAGAATAACTTTCAACTCGTCATGAACACAGGTACAGCACTGGAAAGGCAGAATTTTCGCCCAGCTTCACTGCAGTATGAAAAATACAAATCCTGTATATCACAGGATCTTTTATCTACCTGCTTCCACGCATCTTAGGCCCCCAAGCAATGACCACACAGACCACTCAGCTTCTTTTGGTGCAAATAAACTGTCAAGTCCGTGCTCCTCTATTACTCTTCTTCCACGGTAAAAAATGCCTTTTCATTAACTCACTGGGTAAAACTGCTCTTTGATAAGCACAGTGTTTGTAAGAACATGCATTGAGCAGTTTCTACTATATAGCATCCTTAGTGTAAGAGGCAGAAAGATCATAAAGGCCACGCAGTAATTGTTATGCTAGAAGTCCATTTTAGATCCTGCTACTCATTTTAAGATTTCTTAGTAATTTAACACCCTTACAACCATGATCTATCAGTGGGAACTTCTTAAATTCATTTCACATTCAATTATTGCATTTGTTCATTACAAATGCCAATCTGAAACAGAAAGCATCAGTACTGAGTTACAGGTTTTAAATTTACCACAAAAAACAAACCACCCAGAAAATGTTGGCCTTACAATTAAATTCTCTTAACTTCTAACACAATACTTAATTCTCTCAAGGACTTTGTGGAAATTCAAGAATCCTATATACTTTCTCCAAACAAGGCCTACTTTTGTTCTTTTTCTCACATGTAAAAATTCAGTTATACCCTAGTCAAATCATTAAGACAAGAGAGCATAATGTACAGTTCAGTTTAAGAGTTAAGAGGCTTTCAGAGGTCCTTTCGCAGACAAGAGCATAACTACTAAGAGGCCGTTCTAACGTAAAATCCACACTGCAATCACACTATCACTGACTCAACTATTACACTGAGGTGTATACATAACTACCTATTTTCTGATATTACAAAGCTGTACAACCTGAGAAATAAAACTTCCAGAGTTTTTGTTTACTACTACACAATGAAAATGTGCAAGGTATTAGTAAATACCAAGTTATAAAAATAAATGGGCAATATGCCCATTTAGGCTGCACATTATGAAATAGCAAGACAAGTAATACATAAACAGGGAGATTTTACAGTTATTTTAAATCCCTAATACCAGCATTGTAATCAGCCATTTTCTGTCCCCTTACAAGACAGTACTGCACTTGGAAAAAATGCCCATTACTATCTAGAAAAGCAGAGGGCAATGTGAATAAATTATATACTCCACTCAAATTAGCATGCATTAGTACTTTGCTAACACTGAAAGAAACTTTTTTAGTTAATCATGGGAAAGCTTTAGCCAAACAAGTCCAAGCTATGAACCTGATCCAATAAACTGCAAAGCCTGTCCATAAAGCTTCAATTTCTTTGTGACCAAGTAGTGTGCCTATGTCTTGAAAGATATCTGATTAAACAACTCAAAATTTAGATAAAATACAAGCATGTAGTTTGTCAAAGCTGCCAGCTAAAATGGCAGTAGCTCGGTTAAAGAACCTGATCCTCCTTTTAAAGAGTTTATAGCCTTTGTAAGGCCTTGTTCAAACCCTCAAATCATCAGCCAGGAGTATATTAATGCTATATTTGTCTCAATACTACAGAAGTGAAAACATGAGGTTGGCAAAGTTCAGTCATCCACATCTATGCCAGTAAATGGCCTGAGAAACCTACTGAACATAAACCAAAACACCAGAGTTCAACACTAGAAAAGCTCACATACATCAAGATGAAATCTAATTAATGCTACAATTCTTTACATAATCCAAGATGCAAACATATTTCACCACTTACAGTGACAGGCAAAAGTGCTTTTTAAATAACTCCTGTAATATTTGAACAGCATAGCCTGTATAAACATAACAGATCTGATACTTAAGAACAGAAGTGTACCATATTACATGCTTGATCACACACTGTATTCTGCATGATTGTTTGCTAAGTGCAGAATCTACAGAATTGTTTCTTCTGTATCCTAAGATATTGTGGTACCATACCACAGCAAACTGAAGTTTAACTATCCAAATTAGTACCAGGCAGCTACAATTTCAAGCCTCCCCTGCCAAAACATTGAACAGGTTTTTGTAATCCCTACAACTTGCCATACTATTAAAGCTGTCAAAATACTAAATAAAATGTATTGGTGGAAAAGTTATCTGTTAAACACTGTTCTTTGATGCAGAATTCTCCATACCCTCGGAAGAACACAGAATACATTATTCCCAGAACTGGAAAATATCTTCCAAGTTCCGTTTATTTGATATCTGTCACAGAAATCTAAACTAGCAAATTAATCAAATTACAAGCATGACGCCAATTCACAAAACTAGAAAATACTAAACCAGAATGAAACACACTAGAAAAACAGCATGTGTTAATTTGCAGTTGGTTAAAATGCGCAAAAAACGGCAGCCTTCACTACATGAAACCAACTTTCAGTATTACAGTACTGTCTCTCTTTTTCCTTCTAGCGTAAAATGAACAAACCAATACTTTGAGATCCACCCATCATCAGCAGGGAACCAAAACTTTCTGGCTTTAAGACACAAGATAAAATATTGACAAATTATTTCTTCCAAAGGTGCTTTGTGGGAGGCATCTCTTGACTGCCCACTTTGGCCCCTCTACTGAAAGCACTGCTGAACAAGAAAGGCGGAAAAGCACAGCCAGCTGTCTACTGCACTATACACAAAATTATTAGCTAACATGGGAAAGTGCTAAGTAACTACAGACCACTCATGTCATACCTGTGTCATGTGCTCATATTTTGAAAGATAAGATTATTTATTATTTCTGTGTGTTCTAATACATAAAATATCAACATCCACAACCTTTACTCAGCAATCCAAATTAAACAAATCACACAAAGCAAGCTCCAGTAAAAGCAAAAATGAAGGAAGAGATCAAATCTCTGAAGGTCATCGCTTCTCACAGATAAATTAGCTAAAACACACATTCTTCCCTTTTTCTTTTGTTGTAAATTTTCAACCACACTAGCTATGGGATAACAAGCATTTGAGGAAGAATTAACTCCCAGAATTTTTTTTTAAACAGCTAATAACAAGAAAATAACTTTGTCCACAGAAAGGCATGCACAAAGAGCCACAACACTTTTCTTGAGGCTGATCTGAAAAACACAAAGTAATATATCTGAAAGCAGTTGTCAGATATGAAAGTTTTCAAACTAAAATAACACAAGATAAGCATTCACATTATGAAGCTGCCATTTTTTAGGAATCATTCAATATGAACACTTTATTGACAAAATCTGAAGAAAATTATGATTAGCTCCCGTAACCTCCTGTTTCCATACTCTGTTTAGCAAAATAAAGATGTTTGTACCACCAGCTCTGCAAGAGCTGGAAAGGAAACTAGTAGGAAACCATGTCTTAATCTACAATAGTCTAAGCAGCAATTTTATCTACAACACAGGTAAACACACCAGGGTAGATTCACTTCTGCATTTTCTTACATCATTTTTAAAGCTTTTAGCATAATCTCTAAGTAGGTACCATGCAATTCCCCATATTGTTTGACAAAGTTAATTCAAAGATGCAAGATACTACATGAATGCACGGCCCACGATTAGCTATAAGAATTACTTTTAGGTAATTGGAAACATAAAAGCACAGTTTGCTTGTTCAACTATTACCGAGCATGCAAACAGTTAATTCTCAATGTAATTTGGTTTTGCACAGTTATGTTTGAATTATTCCTTTAATCACAGTAAATGTGCAGGCAAATTATATATGCCTACTTTATGTACTTGGCTTTGAAAGAGATCCTATCTACCAGAAATTCCAAACCTGTCAATTAGATTATTTGGTTGTATTAACTCATAAAAGAAATATATGGGACACAGAGTTTTGTATTTGTGATATGAGGCCAAATCTCATAGTTAGGTATGCATTCCTCAGACATCCACCATCATCAGGAAGAATCAATTAAGTTTTAATATGTTAGAAGCATTGACGATGTTAATAGACTATAAAAACTTGAGAAACCAGGAATCCGGGCAAGTAACCATATTCTGAAGCTCCTGAAACCACCTCAATTTTACTATAAAGCTCTGAGTAGTTTGCAAACTTCATTTCTAGTTTGCATTTCTGTGTTTGGTACTAGACTTACAGAAAAAATATTGCAAAAATATAAAAATGGTCTAATTCGAACCCATAAATATTGAACTGAAAAATTACCTGAATTCATTCCATAGACATTCTTCTCCCACACAAGGCTCACAGCATGAAAAACATCTTGAAATAATTGATCTGGGACAAAGGACAAGAAGAAAAAAAACAGATAGAAAAAGTACTTTTCTTATTCTTATTTGCAACCCGTTGTCACACGAGAGAGCGGAAAGCTTAAACAAGTTATTAAAGAAGCCCTGCCACAGTCAGGAGGTACAGAAAGGACTCCCTTGCTTTCTAAACTTCTTCTCAGAGAAGGGTTTAGGTGCAGCTTAATCAATCCTATCTTAGCCTCAGACTGTGTCCATGGTTTCAATTTAAAGAATTATAGAGGTATGATTAAATCATATTGTCTTGTAGGTTTTTATTAATGGCAAAACGGACATATTTATATAAAATTAATTATTTAATAGGACAATTGAACAGACAAAAGATCTTAATCAAAAGTATGTATTACACAGTGTAAAAGCTAAAAACCTACTAGCAGGGCATCATATAAAGCGGTATAGGGCACTGTAACAAAGCAATTATATTAAAGGAACTGTATCAAAGCTAGCAAAACAAACAACCATTAAGTAGAGATTGATATAATTCACAATACGAGACAGCGGGCAGATCTCTCTTTCTCTTAATCCCTGGGCAGTAACCATGAAGATGCATCTCTGCTTCACGGGAAAAGCTCCACACTTCAAGAAAGTATGAGGAAGAGTCTGCCACGTGAAAGTTGGACTGGGCTTTTATAGTTATACAGTGACGGACTGGTAGTCACAGATTTACAGGCCAGTGACTAGTTTATCTGTCAAATTCTGCTTTAAAAACCAGAATGTGTATCTGAAGCCTGGTGAACCTGGCTGGTTTTAGCATAATTCAACACCGAGACAGCAGCCTGGCTCCAGCAGCAGAACTTGCATGATGGCCTGCATAATGGCCTGCACGATGGTTTGCATAATGCCTTGCATTGTATGCATCGTCTGACCGGATTCTTGGCCTTATCGGGCAGGCCACCCTGCCCCACCCATGCTTCTTTTTAATGAAAACACACATATGAAATCCATAGTCCTAGTCGGAAGTAGCATGTCACAGGTTTCAGCAACAGCAAGTCAGATCTATCAAGTTTCCACAGCTGCTAACAGCAGATATCTAGTAAATAGTAAGTGTAGGAGTAGCTTATAATTTACTTTTTCAGAATATCATCTAATTCTTCAGTAATGTATATATCAAGGAGTCCTTAGGCACAGCGGATATTACTCGCACTTGGTGGAGTTTGATGATTTTTTCCCCACAATTCTGAACCTTTGTAGGCCGTTAGTATCCAAAACATCTCATGACATAGCACTCTACAGTCAACAATATGCTAAGTGATGTATCTTCCTCTGTATATGTTGAGTATTTCGCATTTTAGATTTATCTGATATCTCATGTGCACACTGGGAACAGTTATCTAACTGCTCACATTTACTTTCTGACCACACATGACTTACAGATCTCTACCGTGGTCTCATGCAGTGAATCTCTTCCAAGCTGAAAACTTCTAGCCTCACCACAGAAAATCCATTCCACATTTCTGATCATCATTGTATCCTATCTTTGCCAGTTCCAGTAAATTATTTTTAGTCATGGGAAATGGATATTAAAGCTGTAAGCACTATTCAAGATGCAAGTAAACCATGAATTCACACAATGGTGTAACAATACTATCAAATCTGGGTGCAGCCCTCACAGAGTCCGGACAGTGGTTTGGTCTAGCTCTCAGTTTTCAAAAGGCTAATTTACAAGTACCCATAAGTTCAGAAAAATATTCATTGCTAACACAGTCTGTAATATTCATGGGGATAGAAAATGCAGGTGGTGGATGTGAATTGCTTCCTGATTAAGCACTTTCAAACAGTTCTACTAGGTCTGTCATTTCTGCCAATACACATTTCTCAAAAAAATCTCCCTAACTATATGGCATGTAATTAACTGCTTTTGCAGGTCTCCTCCCAAAAGATACTGTTTTATCTTGGATTTCACAACTCCTTAACATCAAAACATCTATATCCTTTTCAACCCAAGGGAATGCCATGAAGCTGCATCAGGGGAGGTGGCTGGGCACTGGAACAGGCTCCCCAGGGAAGTGGCCACAGCACCAAGCCTTGCAGAGTTCAAGGAGCTTTTAGACAACGCTCTCAGGCACATGGTGTGATTCCTGGGGTGTCCTGTGCAGGGCCAGGAGTTGGACTCAATGATCCTTGTGGGTCCCCTCCAAATCAGGATATTCTATGATTCTACAATTCTGCAAAGATTTGTATATCTCAGTAAATCCAAAGGAGATTTCCACAGGGACAACAAAAGAACACTGTGAGTTTAGAAGTTTCACCAACTTAAATATAAGCCGTACCTACAACCTTGAAGGCAACAAATCAGTTAAGAAAAAGCTTTTATTATTAACTAATAATTTCCCAAATTTTAGAGATTTTTACTGATGTCAGTATTTATCATCATGGATTCAAATCAAATACTCCGAATACGTCATTGAATCCAACCAAACATGAAGAGTTTGATTCCTAAAACCTAGGGAGTTTCTTACACTTTTTCATTTCTATGCCTTTATTAATAGCTCAGTTACCAGACTTCTACACATTTCCCCTATTTTAACTTTAAATCAAAAGTACTCTTTTTTTTTCAAAGCAGTTTATGATTATAAACAATTTATCCACCTCCAAAGCCATAGGTTCATTTACCATTTTAGCAACTTACACATTGTTTTAATCAAAGAAATAAACTGTGAAAATTAAACAAAACCTGTCTCAGCACAGCAATTTTTGTCATACAACATCTACCATGAATAGAAGTACTTATCTAGGTCTTCTTACAGACAAGCTATCTGCTAGTAACTGGCCTTTTAATTTTATCAGACAAAACCCAGTGGGAAATCACAGGTCTAATGAGCTAAATCCCAACAGCTCCCGTTGAGTGACTCTACCTTTTACAGGCAGAAATGTCACAAAGGAACTGGAATGCATTTTGTTTGTAAAATTTTCCCTTAATATCTGTACCTGAATTATCCTACCATGCCTGAAAATCAGAAAGTGAAACTGATCAGACACTGACATTTTTTCAATAATCAGTTTTCACAGAAATGTGTTTTGAACTTTAAATCTTTCAATTTTAACACCTTAAATTTAGAATCTTGACAAGTTTTCTAATCCTTTTTTCTTCATATTGTCCTCAGTTTTCAGGGTATACTGTCCCACAAATGTTAGATGTAAAGAGAATTAAGGATAAAAATGAGTATTTGCATAACTCAGTAATATGACAAAGCCAACAACTCAACCACTGTGTGCCAATCCATATTTTGAACAGGTTGGAAGAAAGTGCAAGCCTACAGAAGATTTTTTTATGACACATACGGGCATCCAAGAAACCTGAAGTAAATACTAAGTTTTCATAAAGCAAAACTACAATAAGAGTTTATAACACATTCTGGACTTCGGATGAGCAAATTCTTCTTGACACCTTCATTACGTGATTTGATTACACAACAACTACTATCCTGCAAGTAAAAAACACTGCACTGCACTGCACTGTTCAAAATATCCTATGGGTCTGCCTGTGAATCTAAAAGAAAATCAAGTAAAGAACTCAACACATCGCTTGTTCATTTTAAGATATGAAATATCAAGCTATCAAATGACTATGGAGATTTTTTACTAGATAAGTACTAAAATCTTAACATTTCAGGACATCACCTTTTGAATGATTCCTGCGATCACTCAGGGAACTTGAAAATATCTTGTAATAACAGAATTACAGTAATACAGTTTCATGTGGACTAAAATTAAGTATTAGGGTGGGGTTTTCTAATTTACACTGAGGATAGTAAGACAAAGATACGACCTTTATAAAACATATTTGACCAAAACTGACACCACCACAAAACCCATTCACATTCTGTTCAGCATCATGCTGATGAAACATATCTTAGCAAAAGAAGCCTAAGAATAAAGTTAGTAAATAACTGTGTTAACTGCAGAACTGAGACCAATCTAGAGCTGTTTAAACTCAGAAAGGCTTACATCTACTGAATTCAGTATTTTTTTTAAAAGTTGCATATAAAATCATATTTTTTACTAAGTACTGTGTCTCCTACTAATACCTTAGAAATACTCTAATAATTACAAGTTGACAACATAATTTTCTGATTTGAATCACTGTAGTGACTGTGCATTCAGATTTAGTGAAGAACCATTTAAGTGATTTTTTAGAAATCAGGTCAAAAGATACAAAATTCTGCATGCAATACTCATCAATAATTAAGGACTTAAACTTACAGGATTTTAATTTTTTCCCATTTCATCATATTTACCATTCAAAAAAAAAAAAGAGACCAAATCAATGACTTTTCAAAACCAACACTGACTGAAGATTTTTCCCTCATCTACATCCTAATCCAACAGCTCATGTCCACGTATTTAAATGATACCTATTGTTTCCTGGGTCAGTCCCTGGAAATTGCTTTTATACACATCTGTATCTGCACTTAGCTAACAGAAAACCATCAGCTGCCAGCAATCAGTAGCACCAACACTACTCCAAACTGGAAGTCGAGAGAAAGATAAGCATGAGGGGCAGTGGTTCAAATTACTATCATTTTAACTACTGAAAAGGAAATGACGCTTGTGTTTTCCATTTTCTTGTGTTTGGAAGTTACTTACCTGAAGCAATGCAATCAGCTAGTTATTACAGTTCAAGGAAAAATAAGGATAAAGCCCAAGACAAATGTTATACCACGGACACAAAAATAAACCCCACTGCAGTCTCACAAAAATAGCCTGTATTACGCTGCTAGAAAGCTTCATTCTTGTGGAAAACGTTTCAGCTTAAAATGCGCTCGTTTAGTAGCCACCAGGTAACTTCCCTTGCTACAGCTGATAACTATAGTGCAGGAATCACAAATATGCAAAAACGTAGTTTAAAAACGTAAAAAATAAATGCTGTTTACTCTCCGAGCTAGTATCATTTTTTAACAAACATGTGGACGTCCACTATTTTTCCTAATACAGTTAAGCTATCAGGAATAATTTTTTGCATGCACTTCACATTTCAGATTGCCA